CCATGTAGAGGAGGTGACTGATTGTGGCCCCATTCTTAAGTCGGTATCCGTAGCCAGTCTTGTTGATGATTTGGCTGAGGGTGTGTGTGTGTGTGTGTATATATATATATGATGTGTTTTTTATTTTTATACATTTTCAGCCATTTTGTCCAGTCCTAAGTAGCTAATGAGCTGAAGGAAGATGAATGGATTTCATGTATATCACCACTGATTTCAGGTTAAAGCCTGAAATCAGTGATAAAGTTCAGTGGAAGAAAAAGCGTTTAGAAGGGTTAAATAAAGAAGCAGCGTACCAAAGAACATGGGGATGTCAAGCCTATCCTCACGGTCCACTCTCCTCTTGATGAGGACGATGTAAACGGCGTATAGCATGGCCCCCGCCAGCGACCACAGAGAGCCTGCAGGACGCTAATGGTTAGCCACAGCTAGTTAAACGCTTCCACCAACGGAGGGACAGTATATCTGACGTTACCTACGACTCCTTTCTCATCAGGACTGTCCATGCTGGACAGACTCACCAGAGCGACTCCTCCCATGCTGAAACACAGGAAAACCAACAGCAACAACATTTATCAATAAAACAACTCTTAGTGAAGTGCTGTGGCGGCGCAGGGGCAAAGCACGATCCACGTATTGAGGCCTTAGTCCTTGTGGCAGTGGTCGCAGGTTCGATTCCTGGCCTGGTGGCATTTGCCACATGTCTTCCCCTCTCTGATTGCCCTCTTTCCTGTCAAACAACTTACAAATAAAGGCCACTAGAGCAAAAAAAACGTAAAAAAAAAACACAAAAACTCTTAGCTAGCGCCTGGAAAGCTAAAGCACCAGCTCACCTGAGAGCCACGGCCAACAGTTTGGACAACGTGAACCGGTCGCTGCTGTTACTGGGGAAGATGGCTGCCAAGATGAGCGTAAAGAGGCCTGAAGAGGGAAATGACATCACAGAAGGTTTCATTCAATGTACCTCAGCTAAACTTCAGTCTCAGACGTAGCAGAGGAGAGAGCGACCTGAGGTGGAGGACAGGATGTTGACAATGGCCACCTGCGTGTCAGACAGAGCTTCCTGGTAGGAAAGGTTAGCCAGGAACCACTGGAGGTCAGACAGAGCAGGAAGGAACCAGTTAAAGATGAAACCAGTTCTAAATATGATCCAGTTTAGAAAATAACCTTTAAGCCAGGCAGTTAGCGTAGCTAACTAAAAAGCTAACTGCGCTAAACATAGCGCTACACTGGTATTTAGTAGAAGCTAACGCTAAACTGCTTAAATTCATCCATAATACCCAGGTTGTCTGTTTTGTTTGCTCAATAAAGTTTTTGTGCCCTAAACGTTTTAAAGTTATCAGAACATTAAAGCTCTAGGAGAGCCGTTAGCTCCTCCGTGTGGAGGACCAGTTTTCCTCACCACAAAGCAGAAGAAGAAGCTGATTTTAGCCACATCGGTGATGGTTAGCTTCCCCACCGTGCGCAGCAGGGCCTCGTGGTCCTTGGTGGCCGGGTAGGACATACGGGACAACTTGGCCTCCAGGGCCTGGGTGGACGGCAGCTGACGCACCTCCATGATGTTGCTGAAACGAACCCGCTGCTTTTTGGAGGCTGGGACATTGGAGCAGAGAGGGGGGAGGGGGGACAAACAGGATTCACTTAAACACCTCCAAACAGGAAATACATCATCATTATTTTCTAAAAATAATAAATATATTTATTATCTTTAATTTAAAAAAAACTTTTAATTTTTCAATTACATTTTTTTAAAATTAATTTCTAAAATTATTTTACATTTTCTATTATCTTGGGAATGATCTTGATCTCTGGAGAATAAAGGACTCCAGCTGACCTTTGACCCTTCCCAGGTTGATGGTCATTGCTGGTGTTTTTCCAGCTGCTGTTGGTTCATCTCTGTAATCAGTAATGAGGTTTCATTTAAAGCTGAAATCAGATTTAAACTCACCGGTTTCACAGTCTGCAGGTAAACAGTCGTACGGATTGGCTGCTGCGTCCTGGAACTTCATTGGGACGTAGAGCGGCTCACTCTGCACAAACCGGGCAAAGAAGAAACTCTTTACCAGCAACAGACAGACAGAGAGCGGCTGTTACCCTGACAGACGCTGCTGGGGGTCAGGACGCACCAAGCAGTTGTTCACAGCGCTGTCAGTGGTGCAGGGAGCGAAGTAGGCCTCAGCGTCAGCAAACTGCAGCAGAAATGACAGGAAATCACTTCCTGACTCAACAAAAAGTTTAAATAGATCAAAGTTTTCAGGAGAAATAACAGAAAACATGACAGGAAGCAGCTTTCAGGATCATGTTGTCTCAATAAAATCTTAAATATTTGCAGCCTAACAGAGCAGAGCGACTCACGAAGGCAGACTGGCGGCGCTTCAGGGCGCCACTGCACTGCTGCCTCCAGGGGCGCCACAGCAGGAAGCCCAGCAGATAGAGAACAAACATGGAGGTCTTGGTGAAGGTGCTGAAGAACGGCTTATTGTAGTCCTGCCGCTTGAAGATGTACTGGAGAGAAGGTCAGCAGAGAAACGCTCAGGGTGGTCTGTACTGGCTTACTGTACTGGTTTCCAGTCTGTATTTAAATGAAAGCTGGTTACCGTGGTGAGCTCAGACGAGGCCACCCAGATGACGTCCACCAGCAGCAGGATCACCACCCCCAGAGCCATGCGCCGCCGCTGGGCCGCCATGCTGCCCTGAGAGCTCATCCGGTTCATGACGAACACCCACTCCATCAGGACACTGCACACACCCAGACAGCCAATCAGGACGCTGCACACACCCAGACAGCCAATCAGGACGCTGCACACACCCAGACGGCCGATCAGGACGTTGCACAAACCTAGACGGCCAATCAGGACGCTGCACACACCCAGACGGCCAATCAGGACGCTGCACAAACCTAGACGGCCAATCAGGACGTTGCACAAACCTAGACGGCCAATCAGGACGTTGCACAAACCTAGACGGCCAATCAGGACGCTGCACACACCCAGACGGCCAATCAGGACGCTGCACAAACCTAGATGGCCAATCAGGACGTTGCACAAACCTAGACGGCCAATCAGGATGCTGCACACACCCAGACAGCCAATCAGGACGCTGCACACACCCGGATGGCCAATCAGAAAGCCTCTCCCAATCTATTTTATTGAGATTTTTTCGTTAAGTGGTTTGAAGTTTTCATCAATCCTTCAAATAAAATCTTAAAAGTGTGGCAAATCAGATCCAAGGAGTCCATCTCCTCTGCAGGTTGTCCATCTTGACAAGATGGACCATCTCGTCTCCAGGTGGTCCGTCTCGTCTTCAGGTGGTCCGTCTAGCCTCCATCTCCAGGTGGTCCGTCTGGCCTCCATCTCCAGGTGGTCCGTCTGGCCTCCATCTCCAGGTGGTGGACTGATCAGAGCTTTGGTAGTTGTTGTAGACCAGGGGTGCCCAAAGTCGGTCCTGGAGGGCCAGCATTCTGCATGTTTTAGTTCTCTCCCTGGTTTAGCACACCTGCATCAAATGATGGCTCGTTAGATGGCCTAAGCATAGAACTGACTTGCTGAGGAGGTTGTTACAACCACCAGGGAGAGAACCAAAACATGCAGGATGCCGGCCCTCTCGGACCGACTTTGGACACCCCTGGTGTAGACGCTAACCAGGTTTAAACGGAACCAGAACCTCCCTTACCTGCTGCTGATGGTGGTTGGTTTCTAAAGAACCTCTTGTCCCAGAACCAGAACATCTTCAGTTGGACTCGGATTCATGTAAACCCAGCTGGACTCTGGTACTGACAGGGTTAGCTATGGAACTAGCTGGGTTGCAGTGGACTAAACGGGACTGAATTCAAATGCGTAGCACAGTTTTCATGTATATATATAATAATAATTTTACAAATGAATTCACCGTTATTCTTTTATCCACAATAAACAACATTAAGGTCGATGAGAGGCATAAATACTCATAAAACGTCTGATGTTCAGGTTTAGGTCGCAGTTTAGCCAAATGTTTATCAAGCTAAGCGCTAACAAGCTCGATTAAAGTATCAGACTAAAACTGCGATAAAATCAATTTTTCTTACCTGAATGTTTAACCTCGTCATTTAACTTGACACATTATCTAATTGTCATTTCACTCCGTGCAGCAAAATGACCTGAATCACTGGTTTTACTGGGAAACTGGAGCCACTTCACTGGTTGTAAACATTAGCATTTCCTCCTCTCTTCGTAATTGGCTAGCAGAGTCACTGGCGGCGCAAAGCCTTCTGGAAAATGTATTCCTAAAATGTGACGTTACGGAAACTAGAACAGGTTTCTTAACTTTAAGATGTTTTATAGATAAAATAAAATCGTCTCAGTATTTATATAGTATGTATTCAAAGTTACGTATTTTATTAAACTGCGATATTAAAGAAGCCAAATATTATCTTATTATTTATTTTCTTCGCAATTTCATGCTTTGTTGTTTAAAGCTGTAATAATTATATGAGCTCTTACGCCAACGTGTGAATTCATAAACTGTGAAAAAAGCCAGAAAATTCATATTTATAATTTATTTACCTGTTTGAGTTAAAGAACTCAAAATATGTCTCCTTTAACCGCAGTCTTAAAACAGTGGATAATTTGTTCAATAGAATTCATGACATAAATAAAATAAAATTAAAATTACATGTAGAAGATGTTTTGAGGACTGCTACGTTTAAATCTGAAAGGGAAAGACGGCGAATAAAAGTAAGAAAGGATGGACTCTGGAAATATTGGGAACTGAAGGAAATAAGGTTAACATTTATTTAATTAGGAAATATTGTTTGTTTAACTTTATGACACATAACTGAAAAAAAATCAGTATTTAGTGGATGAAAGATAATGATACATCTTCATATAATCGTACATACCAATAAATGCCGATCCGCCTTCTTTACATTAGGTGGTGCTGTTACACAAAGGCGCTGATTCAGAGCTAAAACCGGAAACAGAAGAAAAAGAATGGCTTCTTGTCTTCCGCGCTAACGGGTTTTTTGTTGTTGTAATAAATAAATGAATTAAATATTTTGGAGAGAAACTATTTTCCTGCCGACCAGTTATAAATACTTACTTTAACTAGAGGACAGAATTAAAGCGGTATGTTGTGTTTCAAACGTTTAAGTTTAAACGGAGCGGGTTTGCATCATGGTTAGCATAGCGGCTAAGTTAACTGTGGCACTTTCTAATTAAAATTCGGTTTTTAACCTTTGTGATTATTTTATTTGTTTATATTCATGACTTAAATATCAGCCACTTCATTATTAGTGACGGGTTTCGTCCACCAGCAGCATTCTTAATTCTTTATGAAGAATTTTAACTCCAGACAGTTTTCTGGTTAACTTCCATTGAACCGGTTCCATGTTTTCCAGGATTTTTCCAGACCATGCTGTCCTCACTGTGATCCACTAACAGCAGCATCATGGAGCGTCCTTCAAAGGACGGGGAGCCTCCTGCTGTCATCGACATCACTACTAGCGAGAAGGTGATAATTATGAATAATTCTGGTTGGGATCAATTAAAGGATTCAGACTGAGAGAAACTGATCACCCAGCTACTTCTATCGGTTCAAAACTTCTGATCCAAAAGAGACATCAAACGTAAATTAAAGGTTCTTCAGAGAGTTGTTGTAGATTTTACATGAAGGACCTCCTGTAGCAGTCTGTGTTCCAGCGGTAATGAAGCGGATGCTCATGGTTGGCCATCATTTTCCTGATTTTATGAAGAGTTCTTTGCACTGGTTAACATTTAGATAAGATAGTCAAGAAATATGGACCATCACTATAGCAACCGTCTCCTGTCATGGCGATAAGGTTGGAGCTCCATCATCTGCATGTAGCTTCTCTGCTTTGAGTAAAGGAGGCAGCTGAGTTGGTTCTTCTGATGTAGACGCTTCCTTTTAGAAATTCTCTGTGATCCTGGAGAGACAATGGATCCTTTCTGGCCTGGTATATCCTGGATTTCAAAATTTCATCTAGGTTTCCTTCAGCATTGGAGGAAAGAAGAGACACATTTAATAGATATTTATGGAGCAGCAGTTTCTGCTGCAGAGATAATTCTGTGGAAAATGAAGCTGTTGTTTTAACTGAAACATTTCTCAGTTTTTTCCTTTAGAAACCAGAAAATGTTTGTTTTCTTCTTCTTCAGGTGGTGGAGCTGCTGAACCAGGCGGCTCTGATCCCCACAGATGAAAAGCTCACTGTTCTCAAACAGGTTTGTTTGTTTTCTCTGCCGTAAAATCCGTTATCCTGTGTGTTTTCGAGGGGGCGCCTCCTGCTGGCAGGTTGTGCTGCAGTAGCTCTGATTCTCTGTCTCCTTCAGGTTCAGGAACTCATCATCAACAAGGATCCATCTCTTCTGGACAACTTCCTGGATGTAAGTAAAAAAAAAAAACAGAGTTATGAAAAAATGAATAACAATGAAACTGGATAAAGACTTTTACACCTAGAATAAAACCACTATTCTCTCATTAACCTCATAATAAATAAATCGATTCTTCAGTTTTAATTATCTATTTACAGAAATCTTCACATTTACTGCCCCCTGCTGGTCAATGGGTAAAACATTAGAAAATAAATGAATCTTATTGACGGATGGATGGTTTGACAGTTTTAACTATTTAATGACATGTTTAATAAATGATCTATGCATTTAATTAAGCACCTGTCCAGGTGACCCCGCCTCTCGCCCAGAATGTTAGCTGGAGAGGCACCAGCAACCCTCCCAACCCCACTGGGGACAAGGGTGTACAGAAAATGGATGGACGTTACATAAAACGATTTAATGATGTGAATGACTCTCCATTTAAAAAGATACAAATTCAGCTTTAGTTCTGTTTTTACAATTTTAGTTCTGTTTTTAAAGGGATTGTTGGTTTCATTATATTCTCCTCCCATTAACTTAATGAAGCTGCCATTCAGTCAGAGTTTATTTTGATCAGCCTCGTTTGCGGATTCATCATATTTTATTTTTTTAGTCTGATTTTAGATGTTTCTGTTGCTCAGGAGATCATCGCCTTCCAGACGGACCGGTCCATGGAAGTCAGGAAGTTTGTGATCGGGTTCATTGAGGAAGCCTGGTGAGCTGCCAGAACTTTGCCGGTTCTGGTTCTGATTTCCCTCCAGAACTTCACTTCCTGTCGTTTCTGACCCGTCCAGCAAACGGGACAACGAGCTTCTGCTGCGGCTCATCGCCAACCTGAACCTGCTGCTGAAGGACGACAGCGTCAACGTGGTGAAGAAGGCCATCCTGTCCCTGACGCAGCTCTACAAGGTCGCCCTGCAGGTAGGAGGACCGGACCCGACTGGAACTGACCGGACCAGAACCCAGCAGAGAGAACACGACCTTTTACCTGATCCGGTTCCGGTTCTTCCCGCCAGTGGCTGGTCCGGTCCCGGTCGGTGTCGGAGATGCAGGAGGCCTGCTGGGACTTGGTGTCCCAGATGACCGGAGACGTTCTGAACATGCTCGACTCAGAGAACGACGGCGTCCGCACGCACGCCATCAAGTTCACCGAGTCGCTGATCGTCACGCTGTCGCCTCGGACGCCCGAGTCCGACGTCCCCAAGAGACAGGAAGGAGACATCAGCCTGGACAAGGTTCCCGGGGACCACCCCTACATCCGCTACGGTACGACCCAGGGTCAGAGGTCAGAGGAGGTGTGGCGGTGGCGGCGCTAACCATGTCTCTGGTCTGCAGACGCTCTGTGCGACGAGGGGAAGGCGGCGCTGGACAAGCTGCTGAAGTTCATGGTTCACCCGGCCATTTCCAGCATCAACCTGACGACCGCACTCGGCTCCCTAGCAACCATTGCTAGGCAACGGCCCATGTTCATGTCCGAGGTGGTGCAGGCCTACGAGACGCTGCACGGTGAGGGTCAGAGGTCACACAACCAGAAAATCTACTGATGGACAGATGGATGGATGTTTGGTTGGATGAACAAATTCAGGGATGACAGTTTGATGAACAGACTAATTGATTAAACTGATTAATTGATCATTACCCCCACAGCCAACCTGCCCCCCACCCTGGCCAAGTCCCAGGTGAGCAGCGTGAGGAAGAACCTGAAGCTGCACCTGGTGTCGGTTCTGAAGCATCCGTGCAGCCTGGAGTTCCAGGTCCAGATCGGCACGCTGCTGCTAGACCTGGGGATGCCGCAGAGCGAGATCAGCCGCAACACGCCGCCGCCGCGCGAGCAGAGGAAGCGCCCGCGCTATGAGCCCACCACCGAGGGCAAGAAGGTCAAGATGGGTGAGTGACCCTCCTTGCCCGGCTCCGCACATCTGACCGCGGCCTAATCAAAGTCCTGTTGCCCTCAGAGCCAGCGCTCATTGAAGATGACGAGGACAAAGAGGAGCCGGTGCCGCTCGCCGCCCCGAAGCCGGCGCCCGCCCCGACTCCGCAGTCGGCCATCGACCTGACGGCCGAGTTCCTGCGACCCCTGCTGACCCCGGAGAACGTTGCCAACCTGGTGAGGCGCCGCCACTTCCTGTCTGTCTGCGTCGCCCTGGACCCATCTCGCTGACACCAGTCTGTCTGCCAGGTGCTCATCAGCATGGTGTACCTGCCGGACGTCATGCCGGCGTCCTTCCAGGCCACCTACACACCGGTGGAGTCGGCCGGAACCGACGCCCAGATCAAACACCTGGCCCGGCTGATGGCGACCCAGATGACAGCGGCCGGGATCGGACCAGGTCAGCGCTGCTAACGGCCACAGGGCTAGCTGTGCTAGCATGATGGTTTGTAAGGCTAGCATCTGGAGGCTAGGTGTATTAGCATGAGGAGCCGTACTAGCTTGCGGCTAGTTGTATTAGCATGAGGAGCTGGAGGCGTCAGATTTTCCATGGATAATGAGCCTGAGCATCTTCAGCAGCATGTCGGTGACTGACCAATCAGAAGCCCAGGCAGCTGTGACATCACAGTGATGCGGCAGTGTTTCCTGTCAGGTCTGGAGCAGTGCAAGGCGAGGGAGGACGAGTCGGGGAAGGAGGAGCCAGTGGAGGACGAGTCGGGGGGGAAGGACGTCCTGATCAGACGGTCGCTGTCCTCCATGGTGGGCCAGGCCATCTCTGTGGTGGGCGGCTACAGCGAGAAGCCTCCCGCCCCCGAGGCGCCCGCCGTCAAGAGGCTTCCTGAGCCCATCCTGCCCTCCGTCCAGACCAAGTGAGCCCGCCGGAACCAGAGCCGACCCGGTGGTCTGTAGGCCGCCCTGACGCTGTGCTCCTCTGCAGGATG